TATATGTATACTAATTAACATATTTTATGTATATATTAATTAATCTGTATGTATACGTACATGAATAAATTAATATAATTTGTTATTGCTTGTTAGTGTCCAGTGATTATTCGTTATTATGTGCATTTCTGTGAATATGCTTAGTTATCCTTATATAATCGTGTATAATCATGTGTTTGTTAATGTGTTCAAGTTTATTATAACTTTTTTAATGTTTAATTTTTTTTTTCATTAATAATATGTGAGTAGGTGTAATTTGGAAATAATTGTAATTGCGTGTTGGTGTGTGTGTGTTTTTTTAATGTGTACAATGCTTGCTTTTAATCGATATCTCATGCATTGAATTAATTTGCAACAGACACGTGTGTCTCTGTGAGTGTTGTTCATGACTAATGAACGATAAGTCGGAAGGAAAAATTTAATTGGAAATTAATTTTAAAGATAAAAATTTCGTTGCGTCTGCCGTTGAATTAATTATTAAACACCGAGAAACGCTTAATCTGACTTTTGAAAATCTATCATTAACCGGTGAGTTTTAGGATATAAAGATAAAAATTAAAAATTTCTCATTATTATTATTAACTAATATAATAAAATTATTTATTATTGATAATCTCGAAAATTCTCTTTCTATAATGTACCTAGAGACAGGTTCACTATGCTTGCCTAAACATAAAAGTAGGTATTTATTAAATATTTTGTTGAATTTGATGTGATTAAATATTTAACCATTGGGCAAGAGTGAAATTGGGCAAACTGATAAAAACCTAAGTTGAAAAGATGTTGAAATTTTTAAATATTCACAGTTACACACATTGAAGACCTATCTGGTGAAAAATTCATGGCATCACTGGCTACGTATCAAACATTTAACTTTCATTTTAGTACAAACACAAGAAGGTAGATAAAAATATCAGTTATACGAATTTTGAACAACCACCTCTTAGATTTGAATGATACCACGTTAATTAATGAACGGAGTTCGTAGCAATGCAATGCCATCAACGCTCTTCACTGATTTCTTTGAAAGTTTAACAACATTTAAACAAAATTCGTTTTTAACCTTCTTTCCAAAGTTCATCAAGAGGATGAATATATTTTGGTCGATATTTAATTTTTAACGTCAAGCTCAAGCGAAGCAACAAAACACCAAAAATAAATATTTATGTTTGAAAACGTAAAATTTTTTCTCTTAAATAATTTAATTTCTTTTAATATTTTTAGTTGATAGGGGTGTGATTTGAGACTTACCAGTCGATTAGAATAAAATTTTTTACTCTTTCGATCAAAAAAAAATTTTATTCGTGATGAGTCTTTTTTCTAATAAGATTGCTGTTTCCAATAGATAATTTTGAATTTATATTTATTATTATTATTTATTTAAGTTGGAAAAATATTGTAAACCTAATTTATTAAAAAAAGGTCCTACTTTGCAGTCGTTTTAACTTTTAGAATTAATTTCCCTAAATATTTGGTATTTCTATTGGGTCAAGTCGCAAATCTTTGTGAAATTTTTTATAAGAGCTATAGGTTAAATTTGCAACTTTTAATTAATTCAAACGTTGAATTGATCTGATTATCGATAAAATTATTTTTTTATGATCTCCGAAAAGTATTAGACCTGCATAGTATATATATATATATTATTATTTTTCTTTTCAATTTTAGTTATTTGTTTATTATTCGTTATTTTATGAATTGGTTTATTTCACGAAAACATAAAATGCTAAAACTATCAAATTCATCAAATCTCAATTTTGACAATTTTATATTAAAGAGTTTTTATTATCAAAATTCTCAAACTTATTGCATTGAAATACGTTATAAAACTTACAAGAAATTAATGCACGCATTTTTGTACGAACAAATGGATTCGCTTTAAGCAGATACAAAACTTGGAAAATATAAAATTACCTCATTCATACAAGATAGAAATTGCATTTGAATTTAGCACACAAAGAACATTATTATTATATGTAGTTATTTATACCTACATCACGAAACTACACCATTATATAGCGATTGTAGGTTATCGCCTGCCTATATAAATATGAAAGGTTTTAGATCAGCGTTGGTTTCGAGATTGAAGTTTGTTTTTTGTTAACACTCATATGAGCTTCTATTTTCAAATTAGTACTTTGTTTGTTTATATTTGAGTTTTTCGGTATATAGACAATAACAAGCTTCACTTAATATTTCCCTTTTTTTTAAACTTTCTAAGCTTGTTATGAGTTATATTGTTTTTTTATTATTTACTCTTAAAATATTTTTGTCCAAACTATAGTTGTGTTTCTGTATGGAATGATTGTTTAGAATATAAAATGAAATTTTAAACTCTTAATGAATGTTCCATAACAGGTTTTGCCGAATGTTTCAACAGCATGCTGGCTGAAGTAAAGAGAAACCAAACAACAAAAGTTGTAACATCACTTCAAAGCAAGTAAAAAATAGACTTTTAAATCAGTAAAATAGGAATTTTTTTAAGTTGTACCTAACAAAA